GAGAGACGAGAAAAGAGAGAGAGAGAGAGAGAGAGAGAGAGAGAGAGAGAGAGAGAGAGCTAGGTTTGTGTGTACACAAAGAGAGAGGAAAACCCAGTTGCACCGCCCAACCTCCCCCATCTGTGGACCCATCTTACCCCTCTCTCTCTCTCTCTCTCTCTCTCTCTCGCTCTCCAAAATTTGACAAGACTCGCCCCAAACTCCTTGGAATTCAAGACGAATTCTGTGGTATTTCCGACATCATACTGGTGCCGGGCCCACTTATTAAATGAGGTGAGACTTTCTGCCGAAATTTCGGCAGAGTTTTCCCTGAAAAATGGATATTTCCCAAAATTTTCAACTTGTTAAACACAATTATAACTCAACCAACAACATGTACAAGATAATAACATGCAATTTATAGAATAGGCCTCCAGCCTCATAGCCAAATATTTTCTAAAATATACTTTCTTTAGGACTTCTGGTAAATCCGTACACTCGTAACACTTATTGTAAAAATAATTAGAGAAGACCTTTCTTCTTCCAAAACTTATTTCTACACTTAGAAATTTTCAAGCACAACTCAAATAGTTTACTTTGTGGCTGCACCTAGGTTAAACCTCAGGCTACCTAAGTACCCATTTGTGAGGGATCAACCCACACGTAGTTCTTAAATCAACAATCATGATTTCATATGATATACAATTATTTAAAGTAAAACCAACGATTAATTTTAGATTCATCTACAACTTCAAACTCAACAAAGCATACACTGAACACATTATAAATTCCTTCCCTTATGTCAGTTCATCCCTGCAACCATACCCTAGGCGTATGTGGCTGAACATCACTTTCTAATCCATGACATAAACATTCGTACCTGTGCAGGGTACTCACGAAGCACAAATTCAAGAATCTCAACTAGGAAACGAATTCACATATGTATATTTTATATGTATATATATACACACACACACCTCTCACACCATCATCATGTACTAGGGGAAAACAATCCAATTCGGGGATCATTTAACCAGACCATATGGAGGAATTCTCAACAATCATGTGGCCAAGAATGAGCCGTCTATCCGAGGGACTAGGCTCACCAGTGCGTACAACAGAATCCTCAATACTCGTGCACCTGTGTCAAGTCCTATGAGCGTAGACTACCCCGCTAAGGGTCTATGAAACATCTCTTCAAGGGTGCCTTTGTTCTGATCATATCCAAGTATCTATTTCCATGTATCCAAGTATCCATATCCTCTATTTCCAAGCATTAGTATCCAAAGGGAGGTACATATGATAGTACACATCATATACTGGGGAAAACAATCCAACACGAGGATTATTTGGGTGAACCACACGGAGGAATCTTTAACAACCATGTGGCCATAGACGAGCCGTCCAACCGGGGGACTAGGCTCACCAGCAAGCACATCATAATTCTCAATACTCGTGCGCTTGTGACAAATCCTATGTGCGCAGATAACCCCGCTAAGGGTCTACGGTAATACCCCATCAAGTGTGCCCGAGTTTCGACATATCCAAACCATACTGTTTATCCAAATCATTGAACCATTGAATTGGAATATCTAGGGCTCCAATTCACAATCCGTGAATTCCTACATGATCCAAGAGATACCTAGATTAACATATTTGAAATTGGAGTCGATCCAAAGGTCCGAATATATTGAACCCGGATAATGCCTAATATGCGTAATTCGATCGACAGTCAAACGATAATCTAATTCAAATCCGAGCATACCGTCGTGCACGGACGACATGGGGAACATTTTAGGACCAAAAGGGTCACCCAAATAGTGCCCAGGAGTCGGCAGCGCGTGGGTGCCCAGAGAAATTCATGTGATCGAAAATCCTCAAAACCGTCGGTCAAGACCTATATCTACGTGATCAAGACAATGAGTGGAGCAACTTTTGTTCTTCAACCATGACCAAAAAGTGACAAGAACTTGTCGAAAAAATGAGCCGAAAATCGGCTAAAACTTTAAGCGATAAAACGAGTTCCAAAACTCAAAAATTGATCCTAATCAACCAACCATCTGCTAGAACACGTTGAGAGGATGAAAAAGCATACCTAGATCGAAGAAATTGGTGGTCGGAATCGATGGAACGAACGTCGGAAGTTTTACGTAAAAAAATGACCATTTTTCGCAATTTCCGGTGACTGGAGGAGGTGGTTCCGTCGGAGGCAGGGTGGGGTAGGAAGAGGAAGGCCTTTTGGTTGTTTTGGTACCTATCCCGTGAGGATTGGTGGTCGGATGTGACGGTGGCAGGCCAAAATGTGGCTTGCTGTGCAAACAAGGAGGGGAGAGGGGCTGTTCGTGAGTGGAAGAAAGAGATCGTGAGGATGGGGGGAGAGAGAGAGCGAGAGAGAGAAGAGAGAAAATATGATTTTGAAAAACTGGACTTCAAAATATTTACAATTATGCCACTAGGCTTCCGTTGATCGTAACTTCTTCGTTACAACTCTGATTTGAACCCACTACATGTCTACGGAATCATCTCGACGTGATCTACGTCATTGTGCCATTCATTTCGCCAAAATCCTTTTGGATTAAAAAAGTGACCAAAATAACCCTTTCTCCGAGGGCAAAATTGTAATTTCATAACTTATTAAATTAAACGAATACTTAAATTTGGGTCGGGATGTTACAAAATTTGTGAAGACACCCAACCCCAAAACCCATCTCCTTCCTCCTTTGAAGAATCTAGCTGAACCATCACTGTCATCTTCACATCACCCAAAAAAGCACCCCCATGGCTCACACATGCCTCGCTTTCTTTCTGGCCATCCTTTAAGATGTTCCCAGATTCAACCTCCACCCTAGACTCAGATTTGGGTTTTTGTGGAGCGACAAAGGAGAAAGTGGGTTCGCAGGGGATTGGTGGGATGGTTTGGGGGTCGGTTGGGTTGATGACCGGTGTAGGGGGGTTTGGGATGATAGGGCATGAATGAGGTTGCTATGTGGGTGGGGTTGGGTATACCTAGGTTGTCTTTTCTTTTTTGTTACTTTTTGAAAAACTTTTTTGTTATTTTATTATTTATGCTTTTGTTTTAAAACATTAGGGTTTAGGGGCTGTGTTTTAATTTTAATTTTTTAATTTTTGGTTTTTGGTTTTAGTTTTAAATTTATAATATTTTATGAATTGTACTTTTAATTTATTAATTTTTTGTGCCAAATCAACTTTAAATTGAAACCCTATTTTGCCAAATCAACAGTTAACAAATTTTTTAATGGTTTTTCTAACGGAGGGTGTATTTCCAAAGGTTACGTGAAGTTGGTATTGGTCAAACGGGTCTTTAAGGGTTGGGATGAGTTTGTAATGACCTCCATAGTTTTGGGTTGGGGGGTGTTACTATAGTTAATCCTTAAAATAAATACATCACTTATCGGGTCGGGTTCGGAGATGGGGATAACAATACTATCCACGGCCCATCTCCGATCGGGTATTCTGAAAAATTGGGGATTCTCGTACGTACCCCAATTTCCCCCCATTAGGACCGGGGACCCAACTTGACGGAGATTTTTTCCATCCCACCTAATTGAGACCCATTGACCCGCACAATCATATTCTCTTTCCTATTTCTCCGCGTTCTTCTATTTTCCTCTCCTTCTCCTCTCTCGTTCTCCTCTCTCTCTCTCTCTCTCTCTCTCTCTCTCTCTCTCTCTCTACAACCATAGCAACTAGGGTTATTAAAAATAATAATAACATATTCAACTTACTGATTTCCATTAAAATTAAATGACAGATTTGTCTCTTTAAAATATTACTGGAGGGACTCTTTAAAAGCTACTGTATCAAGTTGATAAACATCATTTGAAGTTAGGTATCATCAGATTGAATTGAGGTGCGCTTGCCAATTATTTGAATAACATTTGTGTTTTAGGACCAACAATGAGAACCAAAAAAAAAAGAAAAGAAAACCCCACCAGCTAAATTGTCTAAATTGTCACCATCAATGTTAAGATATACGGAAATGAATTACATTCTCTTTGTAGAATGAAGCTATATATAGCATAAGCATTGAACATTTCCATTGGTTAAATACCACCTAATTAAAAAAAAAATATAATTATCTCCTAACTACTCTTTCTTTTTGGTACAACTCCTTGCAATGTTATCAAATCAGTTTCCTTTAATTTTGTTACAATGGAGAACCCTCCTGCTTCTAATGGTGATGAGACCCTGCCAATTATGGATTCCTTTGCAGAAGAAAGCATGTTTCTTGTGAATGATAATGGCAAAAATGAGGTGTGTAATGCGCTCTTCCCTTTTCCTTACATGTAGTATTGGCATGTAACATTCTTGATTTTAGTGGCAAGTGGAAATGCAAATTAGGATTTAATATTTGGATTCAAATTTGTAATGTTATCAGTTACCGCATGTACTGATGTGTTTGCCATTTTCATCTTGGCTTTTTCCAGTCATTAAGTATGCCGATTTTTTATTTGGTTATGTGAATCTTGCAATGCCTTTGGTGTTTATTTGACTAAGAAGTCTTTTCTTTCCTATTTGTGTTATCATTTTAAAACACTCTCTGTGCGTGTGTTGTAGCTTGCCAATACATATTTGCAAATGCTGTAACTAATTAGTGTTCTTTATGCTATCGGTGTTAGAGTTTATGAGCTAATCTGAGCTAATGAGAAAATGGAGTATTGAGAATGATGAAGACGAGAGAGAGATGAACAAAATTACTCTGTAAAACACTTGCATTCATCTATCGTGTGAGGTAACCAATTCACATTCATATTACTGTTAGAGGAGAGAGAGAGAGAGCTAGACAGCTCCTAGCTTCAATCTCAACCATCCAACTACACTATCAATACGATTAAGACATCTGTCCAAGTCAAGTCCTATGAGACTTAACAAACTAACTTAGACTATGAGCTAAGACTTAACACTAAACAAAACAATTACAATACTAAATCAGTTCACCATTTACACATTAACACTCCCCTTCAAATTGTGAACTGATTTCACCCCAAGCAATTCTCTAAGATATGAGAACTGTTCTCTTGCCAAAACCTTAGTGAATATGTCAGCTACTTGCTCCTTTGTAGGACAATGAAGCAAGTCGATTACACCTTGTTGTAAAGCTTCCTTGATGTAGTGATACCTCCGATTTATGTGTTTGGTTTTCTGATGAAAGATTGGATTCTTGGTGATTGCAATGGCTGAGGTGTTGTCACAATTCAGTGGTGTGGCAACAGCTTGCATTTCACCAAAATCCTCCAACACAAATCTTAACCATGTAGCTTGTGCCGTAGCTTCTGAGGCACTAATATACTCGGCTTCTGCTGTGGATAGAGCAACACATTGTTGCTTCACAGATGTCCAAGAAAACACCCCATTGCCAAAGGTGAAGGCATATCCAGATGTACTTCTCATGTCATCTTCTGAACCACTCCAATCACTGTCACAGAAGCCTATCAAAATTGTCTCTTCTCCTCTCTTGTACTCCAAACCAAAATCAAGAGTGCCTTGAATATATCTAAGAACCCTTTTAGCCGTTCCATAATGCTTGTTGGTTGGACAATGCATAAACCTTGACAACAAACAAGTAGCATACATTATGTCTGGTTTGGTTGCATTAAGGTAAAGTAAGCTTCCAACCAGTTTTTGATACTGAGCCTCATCTGCAGCTCCACTATCATCATCCTTCCTTAGTTTGTCATTTGGAACAAGAGGAATACTCACTGATTTGCACTCTTGCAGGCCAAATTTTTGTAAGAGAGTAGAAGCATACTTCCTCTGATGTAGAAAGATGCAATTATCACTCTGTATAACTCCCATTCCTAGGAAGTGATGCAATAAACCCAAGTCTGTCATCTCATACTTCTGCATCATATCTGACTTGAATTCCTGCAACAATTCTTGTGAGTTACCAGTGTAAACAATGTCATCAACATATATTGATACTATGACCAACTCTGAGTTTCCCTTACACTTCACATACAAAGTTACCTCACTGGTACTTTTTTTGAAACCACATTGCACAAGGTAAGAATCAATGTCTCCATACCAGGCCCTAGGTGCATGCTTCAATCCATACAAAGCCTTGTGCAATTTGTACACTTTATCCTCTTTAGCCTTCACTAGAAATCCATATGGCTGCTCTATGTAGACTTCTTCTTCAAGTACCCCATTCAAAAATGCAGATTTCACATTCAACTGATACAACTTCCAGTTGTTCTTTACAACCAATGCAATGAGAGTTCTTATGGTGTCCAATCTGGCCACAAGTGCAAAGGTTTCATTATAATCAATCCCTGGCTTTTGTGCATAACCTTTTGCAACTAGTTTGGCCTTGTTCTTCTGAATTGACCCATCTAGATTCAATTTTGTCTTGTATACCCATTTTACCCCAATCACAGGTTTATCAAATGGTCTGTTCACCAACTCCCATGTCTGGTTCTTTTCTATCATGCTTATTTCATTTTCCATTGCCTTTCTCCATGCCTCATCCGTTGCAGCCTCATCAAAACTCTCAGGCTCAAGAATGCATACATGGCACCTTTCATAGATTTCACTTAAATTTCTATATCTCAATGGAGTATCATCATACTAAGAATGACTACTTGATTCTCCACCCGTAATAGCTAAGGGAATCTCACTTTCAACCTGAGTATCATCAGAAATCACTTGATCTTGATTTTCCAATTCATCAGTAGTTCTATTCATATTTGTATATCTGTTTATAGATAGGGGAATACAGATTTCCTAGACTTTGTGCTTCTCCCAATCCCACTTGCCATGTTCATCAAAGATCACATCTCTAGAGAGTAACACTTTCTGAGTTATAGGATTCAGTATCCTATATCCCTTATCATAGATGCCATAGCCGATAAAAACACCTATGGCACTTGTTGCTTCCAACTTGTGTCTCACAGCTCCTGGAACTAAAGGATAACACACTGAGCCAAACTCTTTTAAGTGTTTAATACCTGGCTTTCTTCCACTAAACCTCTCAAAAGGTGTAGAGTTTTCTAAAGCTTTTGTTGGACTTCAATTTAACAGATACACTACTGTGTTTATTGCTTTACACCACAGGTTGTATGGCATCTCTTTCTCATGAACCATGCACTTCGCCATTTCCATAACTGTTCTGTTCTTCCTTTTTGCCACGCCATGTTGTTGGGGAGAGTAGGCAATAGTGAGCTGTCTTTCTATTCCCAATTCTTCACAAAACTGCACAAACTCATGTGAATTGAACTCCCCTCCTCTATTTGTCCTTAACCTCTTTATATGATACCCACTTTTAAGTTCCACCATCACTTTAAACTTCTTAAACACATGAAGTGCTTCTGACTTGTTTCTCAAAAAATATACCCAGCACATTCTTGAGTAGTCATCAATGAAAGTGATAAAGTATCTAGTCCCTCCCAAACTTGGTGTTTGCATAGGACCACATATATTTGAATGGATCAATCCTAGTGGCTCCTTTGCTCTCCATTTCGATTCTTGTGGAAATGCCTCTCTATGATTCTTCCCCATTGCACATCCATGACATACTGCATCATGCTCTTGGATTTTAGGCAGCCCCAATGCAAGTTCTTGTTTCTGTAACAGCTTGAGACTTGTGAAGTTTAATGCCCAAACCTCTTGTGCCACAACTTGGAAAACTCATGCACACTGGTTTTCAAAGCAAACTCTTTGTTTGTATTGAAAACTAGTGGAAAACACCTATTCCCTTTATGCCTTACACTTACTACCAAATGTTGTAAAGTTCTATCATCAAATATGTCAACCTTACAATTTCCAAACAAGAGAAAATAGCCATGATCTGTCATTTGTCCCACACTGAGCAAGTTTTCTGCAAGGCCAGGTACCAACATGACTTCTTTTATGTACCGTTTGCCTTTTGTAGTTTCAATGACCAAAGTCCCTTTCCCTGCTATATCAACCAACACTTCAGTGCCTACTTGAACTTTGGCTTTCACTCTCCTATCAATATCAACAAGCAAATCTTCTTGAGATGTCATGTGGTTACTACATCCACTGTCTATATACCAGTCATCACTTACCCTTTTCTCTGTCTCAGTATGATTTGCATAAAACAAATTTCCAGTTTCTTCAACCTGATTTGCAAAATGCCCTTGTTGAACAGTCTTGTTTGTATTGCAATATCGTGCAATATGTCCAATTTTATTGCACTTGTGACATTTGACTTTGTTTTTAACCCAGCATTCACCATAGTGAAGTTTATCACAAAACTTACACTTGTCTCCAGTGTTTGTTGCCTCATTCTTCACATAAGAACTAGCCTTATTGTTCCCTTCATAAGAAATAGCCTTCTTGCTCCCTTTAACCTTGTTACTCCATGGTTTCCATTTAGATTTCTGAGACTCATTCTAGTTGTTTTGACTATTGGACCTATTGGATTTCGATCCAATATTCAAACTCGCAAATGCCTTCTCTGTACCATTCTCACCATGCCTATCAAGCCTCTACTCATACCCTTTCAAAATAGCAACTACATCTTGTGCATCAATGGTGTCCAGATCTTTAGTATTCTCTATCACAACTGCAATGCTATCGTAGGATTTAGGTAAGCTAATCAACAATTTCTGGACAATTCGTTGATTACTCAAATCCTCACCATAGCTTCTCATTTGATTAATTAAATCAAACAGTTTAGCAATATACCCAAAAAGTGTCTCACTATCATTCATACATGTATATTCAAAATCTCTACGAAGACCCTGGAGTTTCACAGATCTTACTTGTTTGTCACCTACAAATTCTTGTTTTAAAATGTCCTATGCAGATTTTGCACTTTCCTGAGTTGCAATCATTGGAAAAATCTAATCGGACACAGCTCCTTGAATAATGCCTAATGCTCTGGCATCTTTCACCGCATACTCACGCAACAGCTTCTTCTCTGCCTCCGTGAGTGCCTCCTCCTTCACCGGAATCTTATACCCATTCTCAACCATTTCCCATAGCTCGTGTGATCGAAAGATGGTTTTCATCTTGATCTGCCAGAAATTGAAGTTTTCTCCATTGAAGATTGGCACTCTGAGTTCTCCTCCTCCAGATCCAGACATGTTAGTCTAGATTTCTGATTTGAGCTCAAGAATCACGCAATGAGCTTTTGCTTACAAATTCGAGCCCAACCTCACAGTCACAACGCCCAGAAAATTTAGATCGAACTTGGCTCTGAGGCCATGTTAGAGTTTATGACCTAATCTGAGCTAATGAGAAAATGGAGTATTGAGAATGATGCAGAAGAGAGAGAGATGAACAAAATTGCTCTGTAAAACACTTGCATTCATCTATCGTGTGAGGTAACTAATTCACACTCATATTACCGTTAGAGGAGAGAGAGAGAGAGAGCTAGACAGCTCCTAGCTTCAATCTCAACCATCCAACTACACTATCAATACGATTAAGACACCTATCCAAGTCAAGTCCTATGAGACTTAACAAACTAACTTAGCCTATGAGCTAAGACTTAACACTAAACAAAACGATTACAATACTAAATCAGTTCACCATTTACACATTAACAATCGGATGCTTCTTTCAGATATTTTTGGTTCTTGTCACTGTTTCCTTTCCCATAGCTGGAGAGTAAAGAAAAACCCTGCTTTATTTTGCTAGGAGTAATTGTATTCTATTATCCTCTGCTGATGAGGATTTTCTTTCTCTTCCTGCTTTCTTGATCATGCTCTCTTGTTTTTCCAATGAGCAATGATATGTTACTGCTTATAGTAATATCTGACTGTTCTCAATTACAGAATGTCATTGCTTGAAGCATGAGTTTTAAACTAGATGGTGTAACTTCCATACTGTTTAATACATTTTAATTTTTCTTACATACATCTGTATCTGTTGGCTTCCCTAAGTGTATTAATGTGTGCATATTCTCCTGCAGGAACTTAATAACCTCGAACATTTGGGCAATGCTACACCTCATTTCAATACAAGCAACATATATGAAGATCTAGGAGACTTGGAAAACTTGGGTAGAGTTGGTGAAGTTGGATATAATTTCTGCAGTGAGCCTGATTCTAGGAGCCATTTTCTGGAGCTATATGATCTCGACCAACCTCAGCATCCTAATCTCTTCCTTTAGTTATCTAATTTTTATGGCAAGTTTACTTTGCATTGATGGTTACCGATTTCGGATTTTATTTTGATTTCAACTATATTATCCAATCATGTATCCCTTTATGTTTCTTAGGTCGAATTACCTTTGCTGCCTTTGGGCTGTTTAATGAATTATTCACTATTGACCAAAGGAAAATTTATCGCTAGAAGTGTAAATTTAAGCCTGAGTATTTCCAGAAACACTACTTTTTTCTTTTTGGTTGCTAATTCTTAGTTAAAATGGGTAGAAAGTTATTTTGAATGAAATACAAAGAGGGAAGGATTCAGACCACGTTTTCTTTTTCTTGTTTTCATCTTCCCTCATACTCTCATAATCTCCATCTCTGTTTCGCATTTTCTTTTCCCTTCTTATCTCTCTCTACTTTCTCTCTTTGAAAATTCTAGTTTTATTATCTACAACCATAGCACTAGGGTTATGAAAAAAAAAAGTTATTACTGATTTCCATAAAAAATAAATGACCGATTTGTCTCAACCACGTAAAAGGTCCCCAACCAATTCAAGAAATATTATTGCAAAGGGACTCAGTCAAATTGGTAAACATCATTTGAAGTTAAAGCACCATCAGTCCAGTCGGATTGAACTGAGGTGTGCCTGCCAACTATCTGAATAACAACTGTGTTTTAGGACCAAAATATAAGAGCCAAAAAGAAAAAAGAAACACCAGCAGCTAACCCCAAGTGGGAAAACAGAGAGCAAGACCAGTTTCAAACCAGCTAGAAGGTGAAAAATGAAAAAGAAGAAAAAGTCATGCACTCAAATTTCTGGGGTGCAGGTGGAAATGACAGAAGCAATTGGTGGAAGGACTTTAAAATTTTATATTGAGGCAAATTGTCACCATCAATGTTAATGGGAGAATGAGTTTCGTAATTCACTCTCTTTGACTGAATGAATCCATTCCATATATAAAGTAGAGGCATTGAACATTTCCATTGGTTAAATACCACCTAAAGTAGAAGCAGCAATTAATTTGAAGTAAAAGATTCAAACCCTAAACTACATGGATCTGGAAGGAAGAAAATTAATATAAAATTTTGGTCAATATATACCTTCTAGTTAAACTTAAAGGTGAGATTTAATCAAACACCGAGTCTTGACTTGGTTCTAAATACTAAGTGTGTATATATATATTCAAATCCTTACCTGCTTCGACATGGAAAATCATATCCAGGAACAAGACCAGTTCATTCTCCCCAGTCTATAAATAGGCTTCTAACCCATAAAGGATTTCCATCCCACAACCAAATCTTTATTACCTAGCTAATTAAGCCAGCTGCAATGAAAGGTGTTTATTTCCTCATAAGCACTCTTGCCATATTGGCATCTGCAACCTTCCTTGTCTCTGCCTCTGACCCCAGTCCTCTTCAGGACTTCTGTGTAGCACTCAATGACACCAAATCTGCTGGTATGTATTAATATATACTTGTGTTAATTATTTATATTCTGCCCCGCAATTATTTCCACATGAATTATTTTGATTAGATATTAGGTTTATGAAGATCGTTTTTCTGTTAACTATAGCTTCTTCTCATGCATGAAAAATCTATTAGTACGTAATTTTACATATGAATAATGCTATTTGTACTACATTTACTGGGCATCTTAGTGATCATCACTTTGATATATATTAAAGTGGTTTCCACTTACGTACGTGGATTTTACCTCCGAATAGCTCTAACACTAAAGTTTAATATAACTTTTTTTTTTGGCAGTAGAAGCAGTGTTTGTGAATGGGAAGTTCTGCAAGGACCCAAAGCTTGCCAATGCAAATGATTTCTTCTTTTCTGGCCTCCAAAATCCAAGAAACACACAAAATCCGCTTGGTTCAAATGTGACAGCCGTGAATGTGGACAACCTACTAGGACTGAACACTCTCGGCATATCCTTGGCTCGCATAGACTTTGCACCAAATGGCCTAAACCCTCCTCACACTCACCCTCGTGCCACTGAAATCCTTGTGGTCTTGGAAGGAACACTCTATGTTGGTTTCGTCACATCCAACGGTGATGGCAATCGCCTATTCACCAAAGTGTTGAACAAGGGAGATGTGTTTGTGTTCCCAATTGGCCTCATTCACTTCCAACTCAATGTGGGACACGTCAACGCTGTAGCCTTCGCTGGGCTTAGCAGCCAGAACCCAGGAGTGATCACCATAGCCAATGCAGTGTTTGGCTCCAAGCCTCTCATCAACCCTGATGTTCTAGCCAAGGCCTTCCAAGTGGACGACAAAGTGGTTGACAATCTTCAGAAACAGTTCTGGTACGACAACAATTAGTAAAATGCAACAATAATTATATGCGAAAAGAATAAAAGGCCAAGGAAAGAACAACCAATCGATGTGCTTGGTTGGATGTATTAAGTTGGCCAATATGTTTTCAACTACGTACCTACAATAAATTACTATGATGTAATATTAATTGAATAAGATTGTTGGTTTGCATTACTTACCCTCTGGGTTTTGAAATAACATAATTTCATACTGTAGTTTTGAAATAACATTGTGCAAAGATATTATGACAGCTTGATAATACTAAAATGGAGGAGCCTTGTCATTTTAACATTGATAAATTTGGCCCATGCTCTAGGGCAAATCAAGTAGAAATTTCTCTCTCTCGAGGACAGTGTTAGAATTGAAGGGGAAACAAAGTGATTTTATTAGATTGAAGGAGGATAGTACATGGCTTTGTATAGGCTAATTGGCCTTATACACATAGCATATTGGCTTATTGGCCACAACACTTGGTTTAGATTAGTTTGGGCTATTTGGCCCTTCACTTGGTGAGCTTATTGGCTCCACAAAGATTGGGAGTTGATTGGCTCACTCCACTTTGTTTGGGAATGATACAACTCCTTTTATAGGTGTAAGTAGCCGACATATGCCCGAGTCCAGCCACATGTTCAACCGACATAGTTGGTGAACTTCACAATTCATTGCTGCATGGTTGTTCTGGAACTTTCTTCAAACTTTTGTTGTGTTAGCCGACATCACCAAGTCCACTGGCTTTATCTAGAATATTCTCATATTTTTTTGTTCCATAATTTAGTTTGTAGTTTCTTGAGTTTTCTAGAATTGTGTAGTTATATCGGTTGGAGAAAGATGGATAAGAGAGAATATGGAAGAGAGTTTTAAACAGAAATACTGAAGCTTTATTGATTTCCTAAAAACTGATTACAACACTAGGCCATCTTATTGGCTATTTATAATAATATTCAGATCTTTTCATAACAGACATAACTCTTGGATTAGTTCCAAGAGTTGCAGACACAACTCTTGACTTCTAAAGAGATACAACTCTTCTTAAACAAAACTCTTCTTCAAGAGATACAACTCTACTTTAATAACTGATACAAATGCATTACGTTTAACAATATCTACACAAATATGCATTACTTTTTTCAACAGACATCTATTTGCGTGCAATTAGTGCAGACATTAAATTCAACGTTGGATCGATTTTAAAGGTTACATGTAGAATCTGGTGAAAGAAAACACAAATTCACATGACTGAGACCCATTGACCCACACAATCATCTTCTCTCTCCTCTTTCTCTGCCTTCTTCTATTTTCCTCTCATTCTCCTATCCTCCCTCTCTGGGCATTCAAACTGAAAAATCGAGCTGAATTGAGCAGAAAAAAATCGGAATAACCAAAAACCAGACTGAGTTAACCAAAAACTGAACTAGACCGGTTTGGTTCGATTTCAATTCCAGTATCTTGTAGTGAAAAAAGGGACCGGGCGAACAGGACAGATTGTGGTGGATTTCAGACAACGTTTTTTTTCAATTTTTTTTTTCATCTTCTCATGATCTCCATATCTGTTTCACATTTTCTTCTCCCTTCTCATCTCTCTCTACTTTCTCACTTTGAAAATTCTATAATCTACAACCATAACAACTAGGGTTATTAAATATATATATGTATATATATATTCGACTTACTGATTTCCATAAAAATTAAATGACACATTTGTCTGTTTAAAAGCTACTCAGTCATGTTGTTAAACGTCATTTGAAGTTAAGCAGCATCAGATTGAATTCAGGTGTGCCTGCCAATTATCTGAATAACATCTGTGTTTTAGGACCAAAAAGAAAACACAATATGGAAAAAAAAAAAACAAAAAACAAAAACAAAAGCACCACCAGCTAACCCAAACGGGAAAATAATCAGGAGCAGCGGCTGCTTTGAGCAAGACCAGTTCTTTTTTTTCTATGAACTGGGGGGTGTAAAACCCCAAGAAACACAGAGCAACTACTCACTACAGAGACCGAGTCCTAGTGACTCCTAGCAAATCATCAACAAGGCTAGAGCCAATCCAACTCGGAGCCATATCAAGCAACCACATTTCTTTCTCTATAAACATGCTGAAGAGCACAGGTATCAAACTTTCCCATAAGCTCCCAGCAGCTTGAAACCAGAGACACCATAGCCACTGCAGAATCCATTTTAGCAAGACAACTTTCAACCAGCTAGAAGGTGAAAAAATGAAAAAGAAGAAAAAGTCATGCACTCAACGTTAATTGGTGGACTGACTGTAAAATTTTATATCGAGGCAAATTGTCACCATCAATGTTAATAAATAAGGAAATGAATTTCATTCTCTTTGTAGAATGAATCCATATATAGCATAAGCATTGAACATTTCCATTGGTTAAATACCACCTAATTTAAAAAAAAAAAAAAATTATCTCCTAACTACTCTTTTTTTTGGTACAACTCCTAATACCTGGTCTTTCATCATCATAATTATATGAATATATTCTCCCTCAACTGACCGTGTCTTATAATTAAACAACCCTAATAACCCTTTACAAAAGGTAACTTTTTTTATTGAAACACCAAACAGTAGTGCTGAGTCAAAGTTCTTCAAAATTCTATCACAACTGAATTTTCTTTTTCTAGTGCTAAAATATATATAGGAAATTTATTGTTCAATAGTTAAACTTAAAGGTGAGATTTTGTCAAATACCAAGTCTTGACTTGCCTCTAAATACTACAATATTCAAATCTTTACCTGCTTCGACAAGGAAAATCATATCCAAGAGTACAAGACCAGTTCATTCTCTCCAG